GGAACATTTGAAGTCAGATTTGAAATCTGATGGAATCAATCTGCCATACTGTACTTTTTCTGCTAAGACCTCGGCTGCTAGGGTGCAGGTAGTGAAAAAGTTGATGTTTCCTAAAGTTAGAGGTTTGGACAAAAAAAAAAAAGATGAAGTAGAAAAGTGCTTGAGATACTGGCAAAGCACTTCTTGAAATTACGAACCACACAATCTAAGTAGGTTGGTGGGCAGAGAGGAGAGTTAAAATAAAAGATCTTTTAAAGAGGAATACTGAGATAACTTTAGGAGCTAGAAATGAAGTTTCGGCCAAACATCTTAGAGATACACACACACACACACAAAATAACTTATTTCAAAAATAGTTTATGCATCCCTTCTTCGTGTACTAAATGAAGAAAATGAGAATATAAACGATTATGTGTTCTGTTTACTTTGTATCCTAATTACGACTCATTGTTACGGTGTTCAGTTTATGAATAACTACTTCTGAAAACTGCTGCAAAGAATTTTCTCTTTGCATTTCAGATTTCCGAGCCCCTTATTTGCTACAAGCAATACATAAACAGCAAGGCATTTATGAAATGAAAAAGGACTCTGTTTTTACTTAAAGATTGGTCAACTAAAATGTCCTGTATGGCTCCTGTAGGGCAGTGCCCAGAATTAAATCTTTATCTCTTTGAAAGAACAGTAACACTGAAAAGGGAAATTAACAATAAATCTATTTTGAGAAGTGAAAATAATTAACGTGCCAGGTTCTTCTCACTGGATTTAGTATGTGACAGGCAAGACAAAACAACAACAAAAAACAACCAAACATTTTAAATTTAACTAAAAACTTCTAACCAAGGAGAAAGCAAACCACAACAAAAATTGGAGAGTACCTACAGCTTTTAATCAACCAAAGAAGGTTTGCGTAATTTTAATCTACCAAGAAAAACAGCATAGGCACATAGAAGAGCTGATGCTAAGAGAAGTTTGCTTGGACTAGTTCAGATTATTCTACATTTCTATGGTTTGAAAAAGAAATTGCACCTGAATGGTTTAGCAGTTTTACATTTTCAAGTGTTTTTGGTTCTATATAACTATATATATATATGGAAGATATAAAATATATATGACACATTTAAACTATATTAAATGTGATTATTTCTATGAGGTATGAATAATTGATTTCTCTTTTTATAATGTCTTATTTCCCCAAATCACATTGTAATGATTTAGCATCCAGTAAGAGTAAAGAAATAGGTGGTCTGAGTAAACAGAAAACTCCACAGATTATAAAGAGGAATCAGTGATAATAGTTCTTTCATTTACCATTGGTTACTGTTTTTCAAAACTGAGAACGTTTAGAGATTTAGCAAAAGCATTATGCATCTCCATCTGCTTTCCACGTCAGGCAAGAAAGACAGATACTACTCACTACAAATAATTTTTTAAAGGATGGAGGGAGGAGGAGGAAATCCAGAAACAATGTTTATTTGAACATATTGAAAGACAGCATGATTTATGCTATCTTACAAGACATGTACAACTTACTATTGTAAGAAGTTTTTTTTTTTTCATTTTTTGTTGGTCCATATATTCTAAATTTTATTTACACCTATATATTTGTTATAAGAATATATAACAATAAAAAGTAAAGGATAAAAATCTATTTAAAAGAAATATAAATTAAATGGGGAATACTATATGAAAGCAGAATAGAAAAGTTCTCAGGATATACTGATACTAGCTATTGAAGGCATGAAAGATAATGGTTTCTATTTTGATGAGATTAACTGAACATAAAAGAGTCAGTTACAGGTTCTGCTATACATTTGATAATGTCTTATTAAATATTCATGATTTCTCTAGAAAATACTTCTTCAAAATATTTTTGAGTTCAAGATCTCAGAGGGAGCGTGAGAACAAGAGTGAGGGTGAGAGAGACAGAAAGAGAGAGAGAGAAATTTTATCCTTTTGGTCTTCACAATAATTTTATTGTTTTTGTTTTTTGTTTTTTTGAGACAGTTTTGCTCTTTTGCCAGGCGGGAGTGAAGTGGCAAGATATTGGCTCACTGCAACCTCCGCCTCCCATGTTCAAGCAATTCTCCTGCCTCAGCCTCCCGAGTACCTGGGCGCCAGCCACCAAGCCCAACAGTTTTTGTATTTTTAGTAGAGACAGGGTTTTGCCATGTTGGCTAGGCTGGTCTTGACCTCCTGACCTCAGGTAATCCATCCACCTTGGCCTCCCAAAGTGCTAGGATTACAGGTGTGAGCCACTGCGCCCAGCCTGGAATTTTAATAATACAACAACAATACAAAATGTTAACGAATAATATTAGTGTTATTTACATCTTTTTTTCTTTTTTTTAGACCATCTTGCTCTTCTCCAGGCAGGAGTACAGTGGCATAATCATAGCTACCTGTAATCTCAAACTCCTGGGCTCAAGCAATCCTCCTACTCCAGCTCCCTAAGCTGGGACTACTAGCACATGCCACCACACCAACTAACATTTTGATTTTTTGTAGAGACAAGGTCTCATTATGTCACCCAGGCTGACCTTGAACTTTTGGCCTCAAGTGATCATCTTGCCTAGGCCTCCCAAAATGCTGGGATTACAGGCATGAGCCACTGTACCCAGTGGTTTATCTTATTAATAATTATTAATAGTTATTCCAACACCTTACAGTTGTACAGCGTTCTGCAATACACATATATCTATTTTTATCTTCACAACAAATTTTTCAGTTTGGAGGAGTCCCCATTATTTTACAGACGGAATTGAGGCTGTTTTAATTCATAAAACTCATAGTCAGTTTTAAAAATAGAGCTTCTGATTCCCAATCCAGCTTTCTTGCCTCTGCATCATTTTGTTTATGTTTAAAAGCTGCCAGCCAGGTACGGTGGCTCATGCCTGTAATCCCAACACTTTGGGACGCCGAGTCGAGTAGATTACCTGAGGTCAGGAGTTCAAGACCAGCCTGACTAACATGGTGAAACCCCGTCTCTACGAAAAATACAAAAAATTAGCTGGGCGTGCTGGTAGACGTCTGTAATCCCAGCTACTCGGGAGGCTGAGGCAGGAGAATCGCTTGAACCGAGGTGGAGGTTGCAGTGAGCCGAGATCATGCCATTGCACTCCAGCCTGGACGACAAAAGCAAAACTCCACTTCAAAAAAAAAAAAAAACAGTTGCCAACTACAAACAAGTTAAGTTCTCCTGGAAACATCTCGGTCAGTACAGTGCTGTGAGGTATATTTAATAGTAATTTTCCACACATCAAAAATATGAATACTACTTGCCTATGTTTTACTTAATAGGAATGAGCGTACAGCATAGAAGTGATTCATAACTTTAAAAAATTCCCTTGGCTTGACTACTAAATAAAAATACATATTTCTCAAGATGACAATAGCATTTTCTTCTGTGTTTCTGAAAATGCTTCTTGACTTTATTCTCTTAGTACTTTTTGGACTTTAAAATTTAATAATGCTATTTAGTATAATGTCAACTTCATCTAGTTATTTTTATATATTTTGAGTAAGATATTCTATGGTTCTTAAGATTCTTATAAAACAGTTCTGAAAGGAAAACATTATTTTGGTAATAGCTTTATTGGAATATAATTCACATCATAAAAATCAACCGTGTAAAGTACAATTCAGTACGTTTTTAGTATATCCACAAAGTCATGCAGCCATCCCCATAGAAAATTTTAGAACATTTTTATCACCTCCAAAAGAAATCTTATACCCTTATGGTGACCCTCCATCCTCCTATCCCTCCAGCCCAAGGCAACCACTAATCTACTTTCTGTCCCTATAGATTTACCTATTTCAGACATTTTATATATATACAGTTACATCATACGTGGTGTTTTGTAACTGACATCTTTAACTTAGTATAATGCTTTCAAGGTTCATGCATGTTGTAGTATGTGTCAACATTTCATTCCTTTTTATTGCTAAATAATAATTTTTGTATGGATATACAACATTTGTTCATCCACTTAGTTGATGGACATTTACGTTGTTTCCAGCATTTGGCTATTATAAATAATGCTGTTATGAACATTCATGTACAGATTTGTGTGTGCACATATATTTTCATTTCTCTTGAGTGTATCTAGGAGTGGAATTGTTGGATCATATGGTAACTCTATATTTATCCTTTTGAGGAACTGCCACACTGTTTTCCAAAGCAGCTGCACCATTTTACATTCCTACCAGAGAGAAAAATACTTTTTTTAAGGAGAGAGAAATGAAGCTATATACACTTAATAAAACGTACTTAAAGGCACAGTATATATAGCTCTCTAGTAACTGAAGTTTCACAAATTTAAATTTCCTTTCTCCTTATAGTAATTTGTTCTACCCCATAAATACCTATGAATTAAAAAAAAAAAGCTCTAAAATTACTTAAGTAAACTATAATGCTGACTTACTTTTAACAATACTGAAGTCAATTTCTTGGTGAAGACATACATGAATTTAAATAATAAAAATATAAAATAGGTGGCACTCTGTTAACACTAGATATTTTCATTTCTTGTTGATTACTGTTGAAGATATGACAGAATTTTCATCGTAGAATATATCACACAAATTTAGTATTTGGAGAAAACTGGAGAACCTAATGATCTCAATGAATGTTCAAAAACTGTTTATAATCTGAGAGTCAGGCTAAGTATCTCAAACTCATCATCACATTTTAAGCCTAGTAATTTAGAAACCGTATATGAGATCCTGCCAGTTCCAGCCAATTAAGTCTAATAAATACATGGGTCACTGATTTGAAATTCTTCCCTTCTTTTTTCCGATGGTAATTTCAGTGTGTGTCTCTCTCTCCTTCCCCAAATCCAGACCAGTATTAATTACGCCAAATGAAATGACTACAAATCAAACATACAGAAATATAATTTGCCAACGTACTATCTGCAACACAGATCTGCTTTTACTTTATCCCATAAATGAGTCTGTATATTCCAGGAGAATGCTCCAAATGAACTTAAAAAATAAGTTTAATGGACAAAGAACCAGAGGTAAGTTCCTATCCATTTACAGGGACCCAAGGCTAAGACAAAGTTCTGTCCTCAAGGACCATATGAAAGACAGAACATGTTGTGCAAACAGTACCTTTATTTTGCAATAAAATTGGAAAGCCAAGTGCTGTTGTGTCATAGTTGTAGGTAGTTTCTCCAAAATAGGAACAAGCACATGTGGTGGTTTCATTTCACTTTATTTCATGAAAATTACTTATAACTGGGCAGAATGACGTCTCACTATTTTTTTCCCTTTCTGAATTTTTTATTGTTCCAGAAAAGCATGTGGTTTTTATGGGACCAAGAATGGAGAGGAAAAAAAGATTTTCTAAAAGAAAAACTGATTTATTTTTAAAATATATCTAATGTACTAGAAACTGAAAAAGGAAATATTTTATATCTTTCTCTGACCATGGAAAGAAACTTTTCCTTTGTTTCACTTAGTTGAAATAGTATATTCTCCTCAAGTCATACCATTCAAACATTTTATATACAAGGACCTCTAATGGTCATTATTAGCATTCTCAGTGCCACCTTTCAGCTCTAAGACCTTGGTTTCCCGACTCTTCAGGCACTGAACCATAAGGCCATTCTCCCCACATTGAGACTTTGCCATCACTAACATTTTGTCAAGGCTTTAGGAACTATAAAGAATACTATTCAGTCTTAAAAAAGAAGGAAATTCTATCATTTGTGATGATGTGGTTGGAATTGGAAAACAATGCTAAGTGAAGTAAGTCAGGCATGGAAGATACCACATGTTCTCCCTTATATGTAGAATCTAAAACAACTGAACTCAGAAGCAGAGAACAGAATCACCATTCTACCCTGCAGAGGCTGGGGATGGGGAGATAATAGTCAAAGGATACAAAATCTCAGATGAGAGGAATTTCTCTTTCTAGTTCTATCACACAGCACGGTGAATATAGTTCATGAGAGAATACTATACATTTAAAACCGAATGAGAAAGTAATTTTCAAATGTTCTTACCACAAAAGATATTAAGTATTTGAGGTAATGGAGATGTTAACTACCTGGATTTAAGTATTCTGCATTACATTCAGAAATCATAATATCACTTTTTACCCTACAAAATTATACAATTATAAATTGCCAATTAACAAGTAGTAGTAGTAACAGTAGGTTAGTTGGTCAACCTTTTGATCCTATAAAGGGTGAAGAAACATTTTAAGACTCTCCAGCTACTAAACCCGACGCTGTTCCTCCCAACCATACTTTTTTCTCCAGTGGATATTATTCAAATATGGGTTAGCAGTTGAAAAGTGACAACCATATGAAAAGCCACATAATCTAAAATACCCTGCCTGCCATCCTTTCTCGGGTCTTCTTTAGAAGAATCCCACAGACACTGTTCTTTCCTCATTCCCAACATTACCCTTCTAAGAGAGGGGAAAAATGGACTTAAATTTCTTAAATGTCTACTGTGCCAGACACATTAGTTACATCATTTAACCTAAGAGGCATAACAAAGTTGCAGATGAAGAATGAGAGACACAGAATAGGTGACTTCTTGGCCATGGTCACATAGCCAAGACATGCGCATGCACGTACTCTATAATAAATTCCTCTCTTATTCAAACCCTTGCCCAGTGACCTCACGAAAACCTCTCCCTGTTATTTCTTTCAGTACCTTTGTTAATCAAATCAAAACAAAACCAAAGTAAAAATACCTAAAGGGCAGTAGTTATGATATTCTTCAAACCAAAAGAAAGCTACACATGGTAAAGGAAAACTATACCTAAGAACTTCCACACACCTTTCTGAGCTTGCAAGTTGATTTTAGAATATTTCTGAAACTATCATTATATCTCCTCTTTCAAATAAATCTGTTTGTCCTCAGGCTCCAACGCTCATAATAAATAAAACACTTTCTAATGTAATGTTACTTTGATTACCAGCATTGCAACAGTACTTTTTCCAAGATGTTATTCTTCCCTAGGGTGAGGTCTTTGCACTGCAGGCTAGCAACCCAAAGCACCATTTACAACTCTGTTTCTATGAAGAAAAATGCTCTGAAAGTTCCAAAGAGCCAATGCACACAAATACTTGCAGGACACAATGTTTTTAAGTTGGGGACAGTTAATATTTATGAAATGTGTTTAAAACAAAACTGTGTATTTCAGCACGAGCCTGCAGGAACAGAGGGCTCCTGCCCTCACTGCCCCTGGCACCCACGCCCCCTCAAAAAAACGTGATTGGAATTGTATAAAAATAATCTGCCACTCAGGCGTTTCAAAGTAAATCGAGGAAGAGCAAAAACATGGAATCAGAAATATAACAGTAGATTCCAATTTGCATACAAATAACACTGATAGTTTCCTTTAAAACTCTGGTTAATTTCCAACTTAATATATTTCATGTAAAATGAGAGTGCCCATTGAAGTATTGAAACTTCAAGATTAATATTCACAATAAATAATTTTTTACATATTACATTTGGATTTTTTTTAAATAAGGGCAAAGACCTATTGTGACCTAGAATTTGAAGATAATTAGAAAATCTCCTATTAAAAGATTTTATCAGAAATCTAACTTGTTGGAGAATTTCAGTCATTATTTACTATACATGTAGATTAAATTCATTCCTTTTATTAGATTGTTTTATTTAAAGTAAGAGAACAAAAATCCTCAAAAGGATTCTTCCATAAACTTCTAACCAGTAGTGCCTAGAAACTTCCTAAGAAAAGTTTTTGCACTTTAATTTTTGAGAACTTATAATTTTATAAAAATATAAATTTACCAGTGTTATAAAAATATTGCCAATTTTTCCCCTGTAACTCTGCTCATAATTATTACTTTATTTCATTTTAGGCATGCTAATGTAAAAATTAAATCTACCTTTTGGTAATTTTTTTTGAAAGCAGAAAAATCTAAGCAACAACATTTGTTTGGGGATTTCTTTGTAGTGTTTTGGGGTATCACCGATGATCAGATTTTTAAAAAATAACTTGATTCTAAAGATATAATCTTGAAACACAAAAATTTACAAATTATCAAAGAAATACAAAAAGACATTAAGTATTGAAAAAGGAAAATGTAAGAATTAAGTTTGCAAGCAAACCTGCAAAAATTACAAGAGAGTCGTACTTCAAAAGGACTGGCTGGCCAAATAAAAAAACACAGCAAGTATTCAAAAAAAAAATCCCACAAAATTACTAAGGCTCCTAGGTTTACACTAGACCATCCATAATGAGAAAACAGCAATTTCAGCACTATCATTGCATTCATAAAGATGGTGACATTACCTTCAGGTAGATGTGGCTAAGGAGTCTTAGGGGACAAAGTCAAGGTTTCATTACTTGAAGGACAAGAACCAATCACCTTTATTTTTATCTCAGGGTACAAAGTACTTTTTTCAATGGTAGAATGTCAAGTGCTTTGTAGTACTGAAATCAGAGGAAAGTGTCAGATTTTGCTTCTACAAAATGTACATTTTTACTTGTTGACTCTTTCTACTCCTCCCTTACCATGAGCACACAGGGCTTTATGTGGTTATTTTAAAGAGGATGCATACTTTGATTGCTATGCCTCTTCAGATACCTTCTTTGTGAATTTTTCAAATTTGCTCTGGCCCAAATATCAGTGTTCCCATATAGTTCTTATCCCACCTAATGCACACAGACACCCTTTAATATATACCTGTAATCAACCACCCATGTTAACTTCTTGTTTAACATATTATTAAAGCCAGGCTGCAAGTATAACCCTGTCATATAAGAAATACAGAAAGTAAGAAAAATCATCTTAAAATAAGCTTCATGATGAACTTAAAAAGAGTAGTTACTTTAAGAGATTTAGAAACAACATAGATAAATTTAAAGTTTTTAGGAGAAAAAAAAAAAATCCTTAAACCCACGTACTAAATTTTGAATATTTCCACTACAGAAGTTAAATGCCCAAACTGATTTGGTATCAAAATTAAAGTGTCAGTAATAGAATTAAGTTATAACTCTCCTTCATCACCATTTTAACATACACTTAAAAGTGGAATTTATTGTTTTGCTGGAATATTTAATAACATTAACTTGAAATAAAGCTTCTAAATATTTCTGGGGCTATAATGCCAGTCTTAAAACGTAATTTTTAAAATAAATCATTCCAAAAAAGGATGATCATAAAAAGATTAGCGTTTGGGGTAATTAACCCAGTTCCTATTTATCTATCCGTTCAAGAGGTAACTCAGTTTTAAGGATGTTGTTAGAAACATTATTCCACAGTGATTCAAACCTTTCAGCCTATGCACAACCTACAAATGCATAATCGTTTGAGATAAAAATTGCCTTTCCATCATTAAAAAAAAAAATCATCCTTGTTTTCTTCTTCAGGTCTTTCTGAACTTATTACCCTGCTTGGATATGCTGCACTCTTCTGGGCATAGAATTTCATAGCAGGTATCAAAATTACCAAGCCATAAAGCCAGCTTTATCAAACAATAATTTCCTATTAACAAGAACTTTGAGTGTATGACTCATTTTACACAAAACAAGTAGACGACAAATAATGATGGTTAAAATTAATATTTAAATAATTAAAAGAAAACTAGTAAGGATTTCTGATTACTTTTCTACTTTCTCATACAGCTTAACACCTGGAAACAACTGTATTGGAACCACCTTCCTGAAAGGTGTTAGCTGTTTCCTTTGTCTTAAGCACAAACAGAACTAACGTCACATTTCCAGAGAAGGGTGAGGATGAAATAAGGCGACTACAAATCAGCTTTCAGAAATGGGAAGTCAGTCAACGTTTTCCTCTCTGATAACCCTTTATTTGTGCAGCAACAGGGGAATTACAACACATTTTGGAAAATAATTTCTATTGGACCAACTCCTCACTTCGCTGGAAGTAGTCGGATCCAAGACTTAATTTCAACACAATGTTCGACTTATTGCTTGAAGCTACCGCAGCATAAAACTCGTCTTCGAATGGAAAATTTGACCAACTTCTATGAGGTAAATGAATACGAAAAGTAGGGGTGGGCGGAAGAGGCATACAAGTTTTTTCGGTTTTTGGGGGGAAGAGAGGGCGCATACGAAAACAGTCCTAAGCAATCAGAACTGTCTCTTAAGATGTAAAAGGATGTTATACCAGAGGGCTCAAAAGCTCCCAGGGTCACGGCTCCCCTAACCGAGGGAACTGGGGTTTCACTGCCACCTGGCATCTGGGGAACCCTGGCCTTGGATAAAAAGAGGGTAACTGGAGTAAAGTCGTGCTTCAGAACGACCCAGTGCCCGGGATCCCCTGCGAGACCCTGTCTTTCCCGGGACTTCCACGGGAGCGCCCCCGACCGCCCCGCGGGGGTCGGAGGAGGAGGCAGGGAGG